GGAAGCTGCTCTCAGGTCTCCCTGGAGCCTTCTCTTCTCCAGGCTGAACACCCCAACTCTCCCAGCCTGGCTCCAGAGCTGCTCCAGCCCTCCCAGCATCTCTGGGGCCTCCTCTGGCCTCTCTCCAACAGCTCCATGTCCTTTCTGTGTTGGGGACCCCAGAGCTGTTCCCAGCCCTGCAGGGGGGTTTCAGCAGAGCAGAGGGGACAATCCCCTCCGTGGCCCTTCTGGTCACCCAGACCAGGTCCTGAATGGCTCTGGTCCCTCCCCACCTTCACCAGTGTCCCTCACCTGTCCCTTTGCCACTCCCCAAGGTCACAGCCAGCCTGGTGGCCTCTCTTCTGCAGGATATGGAGGAAAAAAAACCCTCCTCTGCTCCAAACCCATTTCCAAGCTCCTGCCTGCAGGTGTTTCCCCAGCTGGGCTGTGGGACATCAACCCTTGTCCTTGTCCCCTGCCCCCTTTCCCTCTGTTCACCTCAGCACTTCATCCCACAACCCGTGTCTCCTCCCAGCTGTGCAAGCCAGGTCAGAAATTGGGTTTTGTTGGTCCAGGAGAGGAGAAAACCCTGGATTTGTGCCTCTCAACCTCAACTGCTTTCCTTGCAGATGACTCTTCTACAAAGGTGGAGGTGAAGGAACCCTACGAGGCAGAAACCAACACTTTGTAAGTGAGATGTTGGACCTGGGTGGCTGCTGCTGGGCTTAAAGCCCCTGGAGCAGGAACTGCTGCTCTCAGCACGTTGCAAAGCTTCTGCTGGCTCCAGCTGAAACGTGGGGTGGGGGTTTCTGCTGCCCATGGGTCCCTGCTCCACAGCATTCCTGGCTGGATTGTGCTGCCACCGGGGTTTTCCAGAGGAGGTCACGTACACGATGGGACCTGCAGCCCCTGTGTCAGCAGAGCTGGGCTGTGCTGCTCACCCAGGGGCTTTGCCTTGCTGAGATCCAGCTGGAGTTGGGAGGAATCCCATGAAATGAAAGGGTTTCCCCCCCCCAACCCCCTGGGTTTTGGGAGCATTTTTCCCCTCCCAGGTTGGTGGCCACTGAAAACCTTGGGAGTTTGTGGCTGGAAAACTCGACGCACAAACCAGTGGTTTAAACTGGTGCTGCTGGAAAAGGTCACGTTTAGCACCAAAATAAAGGGGTTTGAGGTGGTTTCCCTCCCAGGTCCAGAATGAGGAAGAGCTTGGAGGGCTCCATTCCCAAGTAGGGCTCCATTCCCAAGCAGGGCTTCATTCCCAGGAGGTCACCAAGCCAGTGCAGATCAAATCCCTCCATGACAAAGGAGCCTCCGGGAGCAGGAATCCACCCACCTCACTGCAGAGAGCTTTGTCTCCACATCCCACCACCATGCCAGAGCTGCCCGAGGAGCTTCTGAAGGGTCTCACCACCTCTTTACCTTCCAGTTCCTTTCCAGAAACCCTGGAGGCAGGTGACAACTCCCCCTCTTCCTTCTCCACACCCCAGTCCCCCCACGTGAAGACGGTCAGCGAGAGCGAGCTGAGCACCACGGCCACCGAGCTGCTCCAGGACTACATGATGACGGTAGGAGGGCAGGACAGGGCTGGGAGGGAGGGAGAGACCCTTCCAAGAGTTCTTGGGAGTTGGGTTCATGGCTGGAGGAACATCCCATTCCCTCTTCTTTCATGCACATTCTCCTGGGCCATACCCATCATCCCGGTGGCGCCGGCTCCGCCAGCCAGTGCCGGGTGAACAGCCTTCAGCTCTTCCAGAAAATGGGAATAAACCCTGGAAATGCTGTGCCTGAGATTCTCTTAGAACCTGGGGTGTTGTCCCCATCTGTCTCCCCTGCAGCTCCGAACGAAGCTCTCTTCCCAAGAGATCCAGCAGTTTGCCATGCTCCTGCACGAGTACCGCAACGGCGCCTCCATCCACGAGTTCTGCATCAACCTGAAGCAGCTCTACGGGGACAGCAGGAAGTTCCTGCTCCTGGGTGGGTGTCACTGCCAGGGATCCATCCTGGAGCACGGGTGGTCCTGCTCCCCGTGGGTGGGAGGGGGTGGCACAAAGACCCCTTGGGGGGTCTCAGCCCCTTTCCTGAGGGCAGTCTGGGGTCCATCCAGGTCAGACTCACTTCTACGAGGCTTGGGTCACCTCTGGAGATGTTCAGCTCTGCAGGGGTGGCCTGGGCTGCCTCCTCCAGACCAGGCACAGGACATGGATGGACCTGCTGGTGATGAGAGAGAAGGTTTTGGTTCTTGGCCAGCCCTGCAGTGCCCAACATCAGGGGGTTCTGGTGTTGGATGTGCTGGTCTTGGAATCCCAGAGTGGTTTGGGTGGGAAGGGACCTTAAATCATCCAGTCCACCCATTCCCCCAGCCCTGCCAAGGCCACCCCTGCCCCACATCCCTCAGCACCATCTCCAGGGCTTGGAAACCCCTCCAGGGATGGGGACTCCCCCCCTGCCCTGGCCAGCCTGGGCCAGGCCCTGACAACCCTTGCCAGCCAGGAATTGTTCCCCAGATCCAACCTCCACCTCCCCTGGCACAACTTGAGGCCGAAAAATCATCAGGTTCCAACCCCCTGCATGGGCAGGGACACCTCCCAGCAGCCCAGGCTGCTCCAAGCCCCATCCAACCTGCCCTTCAACACCCCCAGGGATGGGGCAGCCACAGCTTCCCTGGGCAACCTGGGCCAGGCTCTCCCCACCCTCCCAGCCCAGAATTCCTTCCTCACATCCAACTTCAACCTCCCCTCTTCCAGTTTAGCCCATCCCCCCCTGTCCTCTCACCACAAGCCAACCCTGCAGCCACCTCCAGCCTCTGCTGGAAGGCTCAGGAGCTCCAGGGCACCTCAGATAAACAAACCCACGTGGAAATCACCCCCCACCCCCTCCCCCATTCCATTCAACCTCCTCCTCATCCCTCCCCCAATCATCCAGGCCTCCGACCCTTCATCCCGGAGAAGGACAGCCAACACTTTGAGAACTTCCTGGAGACCATCGGGGTGAAGGACGGCGGGG